ACTTTAAATGCATACCAATAGCTGGGCTCAAACCCCTGTTATTGAATCAGAATCTCATTTGTTTGTTTTGAATTCCCTAGTTGATTTCAATGGGCAGGCAGGCTAAAATACTCTTCGAGTCTTCCAATGTTCAAGTTAAAATTTGGGTTTTTACATAAATGTTTCTTTTTTTTTTTAAATCATATTGCGTGGTCCACATAAAACAAATATGCAAGCTCTCAATTTCAAACCCAACTACCTGACTAGATGTGACATGTAGCTCAGGTAACCAACAAGCAGCTGGAATGTAAAGCCTGAAAGTTAAGTTGGGATTTTGGTTATAGATCTGGGTATATATGTAAAACTTTAAAATGTGGGAACAAATTCAAGCAAGCAAATGCAAATGAGGTTTGATATTGTCTAGCTAAAATAATCATTAAAAAAAATCAATGGCTTTCATAAACAGCATTATCTATTGCATCTTACTTTTGCAATGGAATGAACACCCATTTATACTACAACTGAAACTAAAAATTTTTCAAGATGTCAAGCACCTGAGAAGTTTCTATTCCAAGGTCAGATGGGAGGGAGGCTTTATTTGAACATGAATATTTAGATTTTAACAATAAACCAGAAAAACATGCAGAGCACGTGATCAGTAACAGCTTGTACAATTTAGCAATCCTGAACTTGTGCTTACATTGATTATAGATTGGGTTCCCATGACTGATGTAACAAATTACCACAAACTTAGTGGTTTAACACAGCACACATTTATTCTCTTAAAACTCTAGAGGTCAGAGTACTGAAATCAGTTTCACTGGTCAAGGTCAGAGGGATGGGCTGAGCCAGTACCCTCGAGATTCTGGGGAAGAATCCACTTCCCTGTATTTTCCAGTTTCTAGAAACTGCATTCCTTGCATTCCCTGGCTCCTGGCCCCTTACTTGTCAAAGCTAGCAGCTTCAGTTACCAAGCCACCTCCTGTTTCTGTGGTCAAATCACTTTTGCCTCTTTCTTCTAAGGATACTTGGGATTGCATCTAAGACTCACACTGACAATCCAAAATAAATAATTGCTCAAGATCCTTAATTAAATTACAACTGGGACATTTCTTCTGCCGTATAAAGTGACTTTCACAGCTTCCCGGGATATCTTTAGGAGTCATTATTCTGCCTGGGAAAATTATATAAAATATAACAAAAAGAAATCACATGATTCTTTTTATCATGCATAAATTCAGAATGGCAGAAATAACAGTGAAGTCAAAATTCAGCTATTTAGCTTTCCAAACACTGAGGCAGAGGTCAAAGGCAAATTGCAGATTTCAGCCAAATACTAAAAGTAAAGCACAACTTCTCAGCATACCTACAGATAGTACACAGGTTTATAACCTGTTAACCTGTTTTTTAAAAATTAATTTATAGCATAACACAAAAATTCCCCAAGTATTTCTTTTTTCAATAAGCCATGATTTATCTAAACCATTTGGTATTTTAAATTTTATATTATTTTAAAGATACTTATTCATTTGATTGTTTCCTTAAAATAAATTTCTAGATGTAGAATAAGGGTTGAATATTTTTATAATTTTAGTGCAGTTTGCCATTATTAAGCCTGAGAAACTCTATAGGAAAAGGGTCATTTCTCTGCACCCTTCCATGTGCCAGGATTGGGAGTAAAAAAAAAATACCCTTGACTTAAAAATGCTAACTTGTTGCTGTGCATTTTGCACTTATAATTTATATTTATTGGAGGACATTTGAGTGGAGAGTATGCCCTGAGAAACTTTCTTTACCTACAACCATGATTTAACTCACTTCCCAGATTAGCTTGCACCTCTGAATTTTCTTTATAAAAATATTCTGACTGTATAATTTGGTTACAAATTCAAAACCAGGGAGAAAAGAACATGTGGCATTAGAAGTTAAGTTACTGGTCATCTGGGGTGAGGAAGAAGGACATAGTGATAGAAAGGATGTACAAAGTGGGCTCTGAGGTTCTAATATTGTTATTTGACCCCAGTGGTGATTATTTCGTTTTGTTTCTTTCATGATTTTTGTTGAGATGTTACTACAAAAAAGTCATGATTTTTGCAGCTTTCTATACATGTTTATGGGCTTCCCAGGTGGCACTAGTGGTTAAGAACCGACCTGCCAATGCTGGAGATGTAAGCGACAAGAGTTTGATTCCAAGGTCAGGAAGATCACGTGGAAGAGGGCACGGCAACCCACTCCAGGATTCTTGCCTGGAGAATCCAATGGACAGAGGAGCCTGGTGGGCTATGGTCCATAGGGTCTCAAAGAGTCAGACACGACTGAAGTGAATTAGCATGCATGTACACATATATGGCATATTTGACTCTAAAAAGTTTTTAATAAAAATAAATTAAAAGAGAAAAAAATAGTACTGACACTCATGTCTGCATATACTGTTTTGGATACAATCTTCTCTGCTTCAGGTCAGTTCAGTCGCTCAGTCGTGTCTGACTCTTTGCAACCCCATGAATCGCAGCACGCCAGGCCTCCCTGTCCATCACCAACTCCTGGAGTTTACTCAAACTCAAGTCCATCGAGTCGGTGATGCTATCCAGCCATCTCATCCTCTGTCGTCCCCTTCTCCTCCTGCCCCCAATCCCTCCCAGCATCAGGGTCTTTTCCAATGAGTCAATTCTTCGCATCAGGTGGCCAAAGTATTGGAGTTTCAGCTTCAGCATCAGTCCTTTCAATGAACACCCAGGACTTATCTACTTTAGGATGAACTGGTTGGATATCCTTGCAGTCCAAGGGACTCTCAAGAGTCTTCTCCAGCACCACAGTTCAAAAGCATCAATTCTTTGGTGCTCAGCATTCTTCACAGTCCAACTCTCACATCCATACATGACAATTGGAAAAACCATAGCCCTGACTAAATGGACCTTTGTTGACAAAGTAATATCTCTGCTTTTTAATATGCTATCTATGTTGGTCATAACTTTCCTTCCAAGGAGTGAGCGTCTTTTAATTTCATGGCTGCAATCACCATCTGCAATGATTTTGGAGCCCCCCAAAATAAAGTCCGACACTGTTTCCATTGTTTCCCCATCTATTTCCCATGAAGTGATGGGACCAGATGCCATGATCTTAGTTTTCTGAATGCTGAGCTTTAAGCCAACTTTTTCATTCTCCTCTTTTACTTTCATCAAGAGGCTTTTTAGTTCCTCTTCACTTTCTGCCATAAGGGTGGTGTCATCTGCATATCTGAGGTTATTTATATATCTTCTCTGCCTACCAGTAGTCAAATCTCTTTGCTACAAATTCTTCTCATTCATGTGAACCTAGTATTTCAACAGCATGGTTGAATTAAATGTTATTTAAGTTGCTGATTTATTAGGAGGAAAGGGCAAGTGATTTCTATGAAAACAAAACTGAGTGTTATGCAAACACTCACCTTGTCAAATTATGAAACACGCTGGCATAATAACAATCTATACATAAGACAATTATTAACAAAAAACTAGAAAATGTATAAAACTCTCAAAGTAGTCTGCATTCAGATTGCCTCAAAGATGTCTTTAATGGCTTTAAACTTCTTTCTGCATTTTGAGGAAACAAAAACAATGTGAACACTATTTATGCAAGGTTATTTCAAGCTCAAGCAGCAGACCCAGTTCTAAGAAATGGATTTGGCCCATGAAGTTCAGCAAAAAATCTATTTACACTAAAATAGTCTTATAGAAGCTTTAATATGTTTCTTTTAGTTATCCTTCTAATTAGTTAGTATCCTGATTGTATCAGGTAAGAGGGACATCTGCCATCTTAGTAACACAAGACAAAGAGAAAACAATTGATAGGATATGTGAGGAGCAGGGGAAATCAAAGGTTAAAAAATAAAAAAAAACACTGCTAATGGGCAAAGGATGTCAGATGAACAGAAATTAGCCCACAAAAATATATGTTCACACACTCTAATGCTTCTTCCCCCTCCCATTTTAATACCAACTTGCCAATCGAGCACAGATTCTATCACATAACAAGATCCATTTTTTCCCAAATTATTAAAAGCCAAACAGGCACATGAACCCATGTGGTGTCTGTTGATACCACAGTGAGCAAAAGCAAAGGGACATATCCATCACTGGGTTAACCACCCAGCAGACTCACCCTGTGATGCTGAAGGCGACACTGAAGAGTTAGGGACCGCAAATGTCACTAAGCAAAGCAAATTCAACTCCAACAGATCGATCCTGGATTTTGAAATCAGAAAATGTGAAGATCAGCGATTTTTTATTTCACCATACAGTTATGTGTGTTAAATGTGCATGTTTTTTTATTTAGTTACTCATCTGAGTAGGAGAAGCTTAGGCCCCAATAGCTTTTGAGTGACTAAGGCTTGAGTTTTAGAGGAGTTTTAGAGAGATTCCTTATACTATGAGATAGCAGTTTCAGCCATGGTTGAAGACCTAGTCTGTATGGTTCTTGGAATAGTGACAGTTTTCACCAAGGACTAGAAGAAAGTGAAGTTGCTCAGTCTTGTCCAACTCTTTGAGACCCCATAGAGAGCGTAGCCTACCACGCTCGTCCGTCCATGGGATTTTCCAGGCAAGAATACTGAAGTGGGTTGCCATTTCCTTCTCCAGATCTTCCTGACCCAGGGATTGAAGCCAGGTCTCCCCCATGGTAGGCAGACACTTTACCGTCTGAGCCATCAGGGAAGTCCCAAGGACTAGAAAAAGTCAGATTTAAAAGAAAATTAAATATGCTTCTCTTCCCACCCGTTCACAGGTGTGTGTGTGTGTGTGTGTGTGGGTGTGTGTGTGTGGGTGGGTGTGTGTGTAATTTAACTTGTCCCTAAGAAGGAAAAGGTGATTAAACATCCTTCATCTATGACTCCCAAGTTTAATTTCCAGCCCATCCTCTGCTGCATAACCCTGTTAAAATATACAATATATATTGTATATAAAAATATACAAGCTTTGACCCAGTCTTGAAGTGGGGCTTCCCAGACCCTATGTTCTCACCAAAGCCATTTTTTCTTTGAAAAGGAGGAAGTGATCTCCTCGGCCTTTTACCCATACAACCACTCCTAAGAACATGCTATTCCACAAGACAAATTCTAGCAGATGGATGATATCAATACTTATTTCAGAAGCAGAGATCTCAGGCTCTGTGGTTTCTGGATAAGAAAGATCTGCCCTTCAAGTAAGATTAAGGTGGGAGAATTCCTGATCCTCTAATCATAATGCTTTCCTCATAGAAGATACTCGGTAAATATTTGTAAAAATTTAATGGGCAGGTGTGGTAAGCTGTTTCATAGCTGTTCCTTTTACCTACATTCTGTAATATCTGGCATAAAGGGACCTGGTTCTTATGTAATTACTCAATAAAACATGATTAAGAGTGAGCATATAAATAATGAGATGACAGACCAAGTGTGCTCTGAAGCACTGAGCCTCCACGGCCTGGACAAGCGTGTGACTCCACAAACAACTGCAAAGCTGAGAGCAGAAGAAAGTGGCAAAACACAGCTGTCCAGGCCTGGCCAAGCACCACTCTGCGAGTTATGTAACAGCTGTTGTGTAATTGTGCATTTAATTCAAAACACATTTCTAAGACAGAAAACAATTAGATTTTCCAAAAAGAATGAAATTGTGAGTGGGGGGGGATAGTGAGAGAGAGAAAAAAACGATGCATCAGCACAGAAGTTTCTATCTGGTCCTCAAGCAGAGGCGCAGGGGAGGCAAGGACCTCAGGGATGGTTGTCTTAGCATCTAGGGGCTTGGCCTAAGAGCTGAATCTGTTTTTGTAAATAAAATTGTATTGCAAAGTGTATTATGGTATCGGTTGACTGTAGAGTTGAGTAAATCAAAACAGAAACTATGTGGCCTAGAAAGCAGAAAATAATCTTTCTCTCTTTACAGAAAAAAATTTGCTGACCCCCATCTTAGACAAATAAAAAGCTACGCTTGAGGGCCTGTGAGGGTGACGACTCAGAGAACAAAACAGCCGACTCTCGAGCCCATCTGGGAATGCTCTTATGGAGAGGAGGACAAGGAAAATAAATTGGAATAAGAACCAGGGTTTTGGTGTCATATTGGCCTGAAATGAAATTTTGGTTTTGTACTTATAAGATTGGTATTCATAAGCAAGCTATTTTATGCCTGTAAAGTGGGGAACCCAGTGAGGGCAGAAAGAGAAAGTATGGTTCCTGCCCCTGATTTGGAGTAACTATTCAACAAACCTTAGCTTCCCTACTTAAATCCCATATTTGGAAAAGCTGGCACTTTTCACTGGAAGAAATAATTATTACTATTAATTCTTAGTAATTGGTTAAAAGCACCCAAGGTTTACCATCTTGTACTGACTGTAACTTTTGCTAGACTTTGGATAAAATAAACTTTTATACTTAAAAATGGGAGTAGTACAGTTAAAAATTGTCCTTTTTGAATGTTCCCAACTTGAAACATTAATCTCATTTTAAGAACCTATATTACTCAGGAGTCCTGTTTAAATTCACTCTTGGTACAACTGCCTGCGTCAATGATTGATAAATACCAGCCAACTTCCAAAACCAGAGGTTACTTTCATTTTAAGCGAGTTTTAGCAGACGATATTGCCATTTGCTATTGTGTGAGTGTGTCACAGCACAGTCTGAGTTCCCTAAAAAATCCTGCTGACATTTCTGTTCCCACATATAAAAGATAATTTAGATAAAGACCATTTAAATAAAGATAAAGATAATTTAAATAAAGATAATTTAGAGCTCCTGAAATCCTAGTAGGTCTGCTTACCAAGCACTGAAATACATTCGATGGGTGTGATTCTTTTAAAGTGGTCTTGGGGTGGGGTCTCTAGAGAGGACCTAAAGAAAAGCACCCTGCTTTTCTGGGACATGGACAGATTCGTGGATAGCACTGTCCTAAAGACACCTGGCCAGGGTCCTTGCCTCACGAGCCTTTGCTGAGAACAAGTGCCCTTTGAGATTCCTTTTCAATCCTCGAATTCTCTGATTCCAAGTCCGTCAGAACACAGAAAGTTTCACAGTAACATAAAAAGCACGAAAAGCCAAAAAAATAATAACTGGCCTTAGTGGCCAGAGCAGCTGCGCTTCGTACCCTTATCACAGGTTTCGGCTTTGTAAATTAATTCGTCTGTAAATAGTGCCTTGTCTCCGGACGCAGCTTCAGTGCTGGAGCACTGGTTTCTTAAGGATTTAAGTTTAAAGTCAAGGGCTTCCTGCTCTAGGTGTTACAAATAAGTAGTGTCGTTTTCTTTGTGCTCCGAGTTTGTTCATCCAATCATATCCCAGTATGCAAATAAACCTTAGCCCATGCAGATAAAAAGGAACAAATAAAGCCAAGTGCTCTATCAGAACCAAATCGCTGAGCCTGTCACCTGTGTTCCAGGAGCGGAACCAGCAATGTCGTCCTCAGCCATGCCAGATGTACCTGCCCCACTCACCAATGTGAAGTTTAAATATACTAAGGTTAGTACAACTTCTGCTTGCTGCTTTGCCTCAGCTTTATAAAAACTACATTTATTTAAAGCACAAAAGGTCAATTTAAGTAAACTGGTGTAGAGAGCCCTTTGCAAATATAAAAATAAAAGGCTTGCAAAATGCAGGTCTGGGTTTAGTGTCTTGATCACATAATGAATTCTAAATCGTATCGGGCAACTTTTCAGAAATTTATTTCTTAAAATATTTCTAAGTAAAAGGAATGCTCTTCGCTGTAATAGGTTCTTGTGCCAGGATTCAGTGGACTTTACTAAGCAGTTCTATTAACTTTAGGCAGAGCACCCAGCATGTATAAGAGGCAAATACTAGAGAAACTTACTGGAGACAGGCAAACAAGTGGGAAATCGTTTTTTAAAAGGAAGAAAAAAAAGAGAGAGAGAGAAACAGAGTATAGTGAAGTAAAACAGAGCACACTGAAGTAACTTGATTTTTATATGTCAAATAAGTGTTAAAATCAAAAGACCTGAATCTGATAACTGGATGAAGGAAAACTCCAGTTACAAAACACTACATGGTCCTTGCATTATTTAGCATATTTGGGAAAAGAAAGCCTTCTTATTTATTTCTTCAGCCAAATTTGTTGCCATTGGAGCCGGCATGTAATTGTTAGCTGATAAATATTTAGAGAAACAAGAGCAGGAGCCAGACCTAGACTTAAAAATCCACAGTTAGGGCGAAGGAGGAAATGGACCCTATTTGAGTCAATCAGGAGGATCTCTGAACTTCGCCTGTTTCACACCATTACATTCCTGCTTTCTGGTCAGAGCCTAGAAGTTTTAGAGAAACAAATAAACAATCTAACCGAGATCATTTAAGAAGTGAGCTTTATGGTGTGATGCAGAAAGGAAAGTAAGAAAGGAACTATTCCCACTCAGGGAGAGCCACTTTGCTATCTGAATTAACCAAGAAAATCCCAAGAGCACTGTAAGCACTGATAAAGTCCTGCTATTATTATTTCCTTACTTGTAACAATGGGTGGTTTTGAAATTCTAGTTTGTTAAATTTTCATTTTCATAAGCACAACAAATGAGGAAGTTGTTCAGCTGACTAGCTCTTTTCCATAGAAACTGTCTGCAGAGATCAGATTGTGCCTTTAACATGGTTGACCAACAGTTATAAAGTGTATTAAAGTATTATTTTTACAAGGTTTTATTAAAAGGGAAAATATTTTTTGTCCATTTAATTTTATTCCAAATGGGAACATGAAAAATGCGATGAGACTATACCCTCCAAAGATTTTGCACTTGGCAAAAGCACGCCTAACAGATAACAAGACTCCAGTTTTCCCAACTTTCTTATTGTTTGTCATTTGCAAGATATTTCAATCCAAAGTAAATACATTTAAAAATGCATTCATTTCATAAAGATCAAAACCACTGGCAATGATTGAATTATCCCCTTACTATTATAACACAGTTTTGTTTTGTTTTTCCCCATGATACTGGGAAGATACTGAATGTCACATTTTTTGGTAGTCTGAATGTCACATCTTTGAAAAATTTGGTTTGCAAAAGTTTGAAGTCTTCCTTGTCTGTGAATTTTCAGCAAAAATGAAATATTCTTTCTACTGAACTAAGTTTCATTAAGTAGTTCTTAATTAAACATGTGAGAAAGGTGAACAAATGAGATAGTCCTCAAATATATATATACAAACACAGGTCTCATGATTCTTTAACATATAGAGATGATTTTAAGATTAAAATTGCCTGTTCATTTAAAAGTCATTACACAAGAACACCCTCTAGGGAAACTAACTGACCTAAGTGCTCAAAAGGAGGCAAGATTCCAAGAGCAGAAATTTGCTCTTGCATATAAGAACTTTTCTGGGTAAAAATACCCAATGCAAGCAAGTCAGTGAATTTCGATTGCTCACACATCTTCTCTATAAATCTGTTCTGCTCAGATAGCATTTTATTGTCTGATTTTTGGTTACAGCATTTTCACACTTGGGAGGACACCAGTTATGTATGTAATTAAATCTAAATGGGTGAGCTTTTTCAAATGCCTTTGCATTTCTTTTTGCTGTGCCTAACTGAAGAACTGTATTGGATTTGCACTTGCAAGAGGAGTTGGAAAAAGATGGTTATTAACTAACTTTCCTGGTTGCAAACAAAATAAGCAAGGGATTTCATAGTGTCTGAGAAATTATCTTCTATAGCAAGCCCCTAAACTATGTTATTTTTCTTGCACTATTTTAGTGTTCATGTTTATTATCACTAGAATATGCTGGTTGTTGGGGCAAGGTGGAGGAAAGAGACAAGCAAGACTGAGTAACAAAAAACTATTGCAACTACAGTAGAAGGACTATACACGCCCTCAAGCTTGAGACTGCTTCTAGTCCAAACAAAAGATGCCATTGATGCATAACTTTTATGACTTTACAGTCCACTTACTTTTTTAAGGTACATAAAACAGAGATCAGAGTTTAAGAAATACTTTCTAAAATGATACCAAAGTTTTTGGAATTTAAAATCTCAGTAACATGAGTATAAATGCACTCAAACTCAGAGTCTGTCTCTGTCTTTATATCCCCCCCTTTCCAATTCTAAACAAACTCTATCTCTGCCAGCTCTCTGCTCATCCTTTTAAAGGATGAGCTTCTTGGGAAATTATGTGATCTTTGGGCAAACTACATTACCTCTCTCTGCCTTGGTTTCCTTACATGTAAAATGGGAATCCTTAAGGTTGAAGAAAGCATTACATGCATTTAATGCATACAAAGCCCTTGAAATAACCTGACACATGGGAAGTGATCGATTAACATCAGCCATCTTAGTCCTATTTATTTTCCTGAATTCCATCCAATTTCCCAGGACCTTCTTTTACTCAGCCTTTCCTAGACCTGTTTCCCACAAGGGTTCTTCTTATTTCATTGTCATCCCCTAGCTTTTCTGTCACTCTTTCTTGCACAGTCATGCCCCACCTGACAAGGATTTCATTGGAGCTAAGTTGCAAGGGTTTATCCTGGATTTCAGGGATCAAGAACTTTCTCTTACAGGATTTGGTATCTTTGTTTTCCATTCTCTCTTTACAAATCTGTTTTCTACCTTAAAGACAAATAGAAAATTCAAAAAGAAAGCTTTCTCAGACAGGAATCAAACCCCCAAATCTTTAGTTTGGCTCTTAAATCTAACTCACTCAATAATGAATGACTTATTCGTGCTAGAAAAGATCTTCATTGGCTAATGACATTTCACATACCCACACAGATACACAGACAGGAAATATAGTTACGTTTTATTGTGTTTACTCTGTGCCAATGACTTAGTTATTTATGATGATTTTATTTACTCTTTCCAATAACCCTATAAGGATGTTACTATTCCTGCTTTGTAGTTGAGGAGACTGAAGAAGAGAGTGGCTAAGTAACTTTCCTTACGTTACACAGCTAGTCAATGACAAAGCTAGACTTGGAATGCTGGCAGCTTTAGCCCTCACCCCAAGTGACTTGTCTCAGACCAGTATCACTGCTTTGGGACACGGAGTTGCTGGCATCCTAGTCTATCTTTATTCTGACTTTCATTTGTCCATTCCTGATTACTGGAGGGGAC